GCGCGCGCGGGGATAATTGGGAAGGAGGGGGCGCGCGCGCGCGGGGATAATTGGGAAGGAGGGGGCGCGCGCGCGCGGGGATAATTGGGAAGGAGGGGGCGCGCGCGCGCGCGGGGATAATTGGGAAGGGGGGGCGCGCGCGCGCGGGGATAATTGGGAAGGGGGGGGGGGGGCGCACAGATCTTGCACTTCTGCCCCCTCACTCTGTCTGTATCTCTCTCACCCCCCCACGACCCTTCAATCCTGTAGCATCCCAGGATTTGCAGCAGCTGTTCTCTCGGTCGAAAGATGGCTCCTCGCGCCTGATCCAGGTTCTGATCGACAACGGTACGTTTCTCACCACCCCCGCCCCCCAACCCCCACCCCCCGACCTTCTCCTGCCCTGTGAGGCACCTGCAGTCGAATAGCTGTGTTTTGTTTTGTTTTTGGGGTGGGGGGCGACTGTTGGAGAGTCGGGAGGGAAGATTCTGACTGTGTCTGAACCAAGGAGCGGGTGGGGGTGAGGGAGGGACTCAGAAACCTAGCAGCCACGTGGGGCAGAATCGATGGGCCCAATGTGCTCTTTCTGCCCAGATCGGGCAGGGTGTGGCTGGCATGGAGGTCTTGGGGGGTGGGGGGTTCGGGTGGCGAGATGGGTCACATTCACTGTCCGCCCCTCTTGCCTGTAATGCAGTTAAAGCCCTCCTGTACAATATCACACAGAAAACAACCATCTCATTGGGAAAACTACATGAAGTCTTCAGCTTTGTTCCTTTATTCATTCACGGGATGAGGGTGTCGCTTTTAATGCAGCATTTATTGCCCATCCCTAATTGCCCCAGAGGGCAGTTTACAGTCAGCCACATTGGTGTGGGTCTGGAGTCACATGTAGGCCCAGACCGGGTAAGGATGGCAGTTTCCTTCCCTAAAGGACATCGGTGAACCAGGTGGGCATTCCCTAACAATGGATTAACTTAAACTCTTAACATTCCAGCTATTTATTGGATTCGAATCTGCGGCAGGATTCGAGCCCGGGTCCCCAGAACGTTACCTGGGGGGGGAGATCTCTGGATTAACAGATAAATACCACTAGTTTGAAGAGTTCATGCTGAATGCATCGGCATTATTTCAAAAAATAAAAATGCAGCTCGTTTAAGCGGACGAAATGCTGAATCGATGGTACCACGGTACGGTTTAAAATGAGCGCTTGTTCGAACATGCACAGTTTGTGTGCGTGGTATTTTCGCCCAGAGCTTGCTACGTATGAAATATGCGAGAGGTTTTGCACTTGCGCTCGTAAATCATTTCCTATCAAAAGTTGTCCAATTTCCAGCCTGCTCTCTTGCAGCTCTGTTCGGAATAGGAACTTAGTCAGGCTTGCAACGCAGTTTAATCCTACAGTTTACTTTGCCAACGGGCCACGTAGGAAATAAAGATCAGATTACTTTGCTGCACTCATCTGGGAATCTATCCTGTGCTGATGGAGAGTGGGGTTGGATCAGCACTGAAATGGAGAAGGGAATTTTACTTCAAATAAAAAAAATTGCAGAAGTGTCGAATACGGGGAGAGTTGCTATCTGAGAGCTCCACCCCTCTCAGTTTTGCACAGCTCACCTCCTTTGGATCATGCCCGCACTATCGAGCAGTGCTGGGTTTTCCGGGGACAGGGCTGTACTTTTTAAAAAGTCCAGCTGCCATTTCATTGCAAACGCCAGGGTTAGGTTCAGAAATGGGTTTGCCTCCTTGCAGCATCAGCTGTCTGAAAAACTAGGCATTTGTAACAGCAGCTATAAGAACGAAGCTGTGCAGGTGAGGAGGAGGAATTTCTGGGAAATATAATTGTTATGCGTCCTTTGTGCCCCTAGCTGCGCTTTTCCCAGGGACCCTGTTATTTCTAAAGCGCCATGTCCCACTGGAATGCAGCTATTGAGTTACAGGACAACCCATTGTACCAGCCCTCGATAACCTTCTCACGTCTGTCTCTGTCTCTGTCTCTCTCTCCCTGCCTCTCTCTTTCTCTCTCGGCAGAATACCTGGTGGTGGGTGAGTGTCACCCCCCGGCTGCGAGCTGGGACAGTGATTATGAGAAGCTCCTGTTGCCTTTGCTCAGGCCAGACGAACCCTGCTACGTTCTGTATCGCCTGGACAGCCAGAATGCACAAGGCTTCGAGTGGATCTTCATCTCGTGGATTCCAATGAGCTCCGCGGTAAGGCACAGGACAGACAGACAGACGGACGGGCTGAGGGGACAGGCCGAAAACATGGCATATGTCTCTCTCTGTCGGGTGTGGGGAGTCGGGGGAACTGCACACGCTGTCTGTCTCTCTGTATTGGATAATATTCTTGTCCCCGAGTGTGGTGAGCAGGAGGTTAATGTTTTGGGTGTTGTACTGTGACTCTCGGAGGACCCTCAGTGAGTCGCTGCGTCTTGTAGACGGTACACGCTGCTGCGCCTCTGCATCGGTGTTGGCGCTCAGCCGAGCATTCCTAATGAGCCCAGCTTCTGCTGTGTGTCAGTGGTGGAGGGAGGGAGTGTTGGAGGTTGGGGGCTGGTGTGCCCATCAAGTGGTGAGGGTGGGGGGGGGGGGGGGGGGG